TTCTTGCCTAAGGTTAATATCAGTTGAAAATAGTTGCTACAAAGTAAGTTTGGGAGGCAGCATGCAAGAGTTCATAGCGGTGCCGCAGATTTTGCATTTCGTGGAGAAATGCTAGCGGTAAGATGAGAAGAACCACCAATCACAACTGCTGGTAGAAGAAACCTGCAGCGCATTTGTCTGCTGCTACCACCCCATGAAGATGCTGGAGAGCATGTCAAAAGCAATGCTCATTAAACAAAGTAAAGGAACTGAAGAAGAAGCAGACTGCCAACCTCATATTCATAACATAAGACCACTTGTGACAAAGTACCGCATGCCAATTCCGATCAGTCATTCAGTAGGTAGTTAAACACTTCATACAGCCATTTCCTTGCATGCCAGTTGAGAAAATCATGATAAAGAAACTGCTGGTGAGCATTAGAGTTAGGTTTTCATGGTGAGGTAAATAAAAGTGACTTATGAACTCAATAAAAAATCGAAATTATCAGCATTTACAATTACCACACATTAACAATGATACGTTTTGCAAGTCAAGAAGAAAATCGTTCGACAGTGTCGATAGCTCCCGAGAACATCAGGGTTCGATTTTGTCACAAGTGGTTTGTATGATATTTCAGTCATTTTCCAGAATAGGTCGAGCTTACCTTTAAAAAAGTAGTTCAACTTCTGAATTTCATAAGTACTCAACGGGCCCGTTGGTACATGACGACATTTAAGTAACTCGCATATAATTTTCAGCACGCTTTGTCCCGCGTAAAACGCTGACTTGCTGGCTAAAACGAAATGAAGCTCAACAATGAAAGTTTACTTACATTAGCACTGTTGCTGAAGTCATGAAAAATGATGTACAGTATTATTCAAGAGCTGGTAACTAATTTGAAATTATTTAGATTCAAGACACGTCACGCCCTGATTTAATAATCTGCATCGTAGCACTTCAACATGCGCACTCTAAACAGTGCCAAATATCATGTCCACTTTGTAGAGATCATGCACGACTATGGCCAGAGCATAGGCTTGCATATCACAGCAGAGTACGAGAAAATGCATTTTTCTTGACTGTTAAGACCTCATACAGACTGATCATCGATGCCATTTATTGATATTGCGCGCCAACAGTATTGCGAGACATCGTCTCAAAGGCGCTCCCTGCCAAAGTGAGCAGTGAAGCCCTGTGCAGCGGTATCAAGAGCAGCTAGCGCGCTTATTTGCAGACAGCAAACTTCATGAAAGACACGACGGATCTCTGACAGAAGACACAGCAACTGAAGGAACAATCTCTCACCAATGGATTGGACGATCACTCATCAAAACGAAATGCAGGCAGAAGGAGCACTGCTCCAAGTACTCGTTCCACACAAATGACAAAGAACATGAAGAAGTCGCTGTCTGCATGTACATCATCATCATCATCAGGTGGACCATAGACCCTTTAAGTGAGAAAATCAGCAGTAGGAGGAAGGCGGTACAGGCGGAGTTCAACGCAGTAGAAGCATCGTTTTTCGTCACTGCACTGCAGTTCGGACGAAGAACGAACCACTTGATTCAACCACTCTGTATGCGACAATCTGCCATATTGCATGCTGACCTGCTACAGGAGCCAACTTGAAAAAGTGATGGTCGTGCAGAGGGTGAGAAAACAAAGAATGTTCAAAGTCTCTATTCCAGATCATGTTCTGATTGGACAATGAGCTGTATTAACCTATGCCTTCTACGGCATCAGGAGAGGTTGGGCCGGCCATATGTGTTGTCCGATGAACAACCGAGGAACGTAAAAAATTACGAACACACTTCCGCTGAACCACAAATCAACCTCGGTAGTCTAGCATTTGGAAACAAGCGGTTAAAGTGCTTGGCCAGCAAGAGAAGAAGAGGAATGTCAAACGAGAACAGGTAGAATTAAGGATCAACAGATGAGACTCCATAAATGCTATGTAATAGGCGTATATTTTGCTGAAGAACAAAAGCACTGAAACCAATTCATTCCCGATCCATGGAATGAGGAACTGGTGCATATGAATGTCTGGCTGCATGGATTTATGACCAGTTGGAACATAAGGCGGATGCAGAATCGAAAATAATTGGAAAAAAGCGCCGCAGACATAACGAAAAATATAAAATAAACTAGAAATAGGTAAAAAGCAGTTGAAAACATACTGTCAACGATAAGCGTCAGAACATGGCTCAGACATCGACCCAAAGACAGTCACTGGTCTGACGTATTTGAACAAACCATCGTAAAGCTGCTTGCCCGCTCCGAGGCGAACTGCTCCCAAAGGTGTAAAGTAAAATTGGCCAAACTGAGAGTAGTTTTCCTTTCTAAAAGGAAAACTGATTACCATGAACGCGATGATAATCAACATGATCATTTACCCGAGATTAAGATTCAGCCGCATGCTTGTGATTAGGTCGAAAATCTGAAGGGCCGTGCGATCAAAATCTATGAAATTTCCGGCGAAACCACTGACGATGTCCGAAGCGTTGACATACAAAGGCTGACATGGCCTTATCTTCATGACGGCCTCATCACCATTGATTTTCATGAACGAAGCTATGAACTAAGACCGGAACATGACACTATGCATAAAATGAATTTGTACTGGTTTCTCGTTTGTTATCTCCAACTTGCTAGTGGAGAGAGGTTTCTGCTTCCGTCATAGAACACTTCATATCGATTCTTGAACGTGTTCCGGTATGCGATGAACAGTTTTTCGTAAAGAGCATAACACATTCGACGGCTTTCTAACTTATCATGCCTGAAAGTAGCAGTGAAAGAAGCCTGAAAGAAGCTTTCCAAACTGAAGGAACAAACCACTTACGTTCTTTTGGCACGATGATCCGTGACTGAGCCGGTGAGCGAATCTTGGATCCATCCTCTCCACAAAGTCACGTCCACGTCGTAACGAAAAACCACCGCATCGTTTGGTACAGTCATCGCAAAGTGATTGGTAACCAAAGCGATTGATTCACCAATGGTTCCATCAGAACGAGCAGGCGCCAGTGCAGTGCACAAACGTTCGACGTTCGGTACATCAGGTGGCAGTGCCTGAACTGACCATTAATCATAAAAATTTGCAGAAATACAATAATATATGACCATTTTTTAATATCAATAAACATAAACATCATACGATGGTTGAACGACAGCTAAAAATTATACAGACTCTGCTACTGCAAGGTTTATATAAACATGTTTCAATTTATGAAGCGATGCATGCAGGAATCATGCCTACTGTAAAAGTCGAAGGATTATTATTTGAATGGTTTTATGTTAACTGTAGAGTTCCCCAAGGAGATGCGCTATCTCCCTCGCTTTTCAACAACCTTTTCTCGACTTTCTTATCTTACACGATACCAAGGCTGATAAAGACGAAGGGCGAGTTCTAGACAGAAGTTGCAGTCCAAGATATCCGGCTGGTTATTCATGTATTGATGTAACAGTTGATTTTACTTTAATTAGTAGTACGGGAAGCAGGCTCTGTTACTTGACGGTTTCAGTTTGCAACAAATCTGCAAAAAACAGCCTGTATCTCAACGCCCGGAAGTCCGAAGTTATGAGGAACCCCATGAGGCATCGGTGATTTATTAGCAGAACAGAAA